TACCTGTACCCCAATAGCGGGGTAGGTAGTAAAAATCACACAAAAGAATCAAAAATAGATCATGCCACACTACATGATATGCTTCCAAAACAGGTAGTGATATCAAAGAACAATGTTTCACTCTTGCTGTAACAGACTTGATGACTCACGTGCATGAACAGTATGTTTATGTAAATATATCTATAGAATAAACATACTTTAAAGATACTAATTAAATACATCTCTGTGCATCCTTAGGTCTAACTAAAAAGAGGTGTGTGTGTGTGTGTGTTTCAATGTGTGTATAGTCTTATTCAGAGTCACAGTCAGTGCTAGAAGAGGGCCGGTATTCACCGGTACGTACTTTTTCTTGCGCACAGGCACTTCTCACAAGCTGCCCATACGCTTTTCTACCCTCTCCACCAGCCAAGACCGAGTATGGAAAAGGTCGAGTGACGATAAATTCCAACATGTGTACAACATGTGAGTAGTGGTCACAGTGCTGACAAATTAATGCTGGTAACCCTGGAGTGCCGCTAGCTTTTAGCTAGCTGTATTAGCATAGTGGTTTGAAATTAGAAAGGAAAAAATGCATCACATGTTGCCTTAGAAACTACATTTCAATCTAATATAAGTCAAACAATTCTATCTGCAATAGATACTAAACAAAAAATATTACTTTCTTACCTCAAAATCATTTTTTTCCTCTATATATTCTGAATATGCCTGTTTCCAGACTTGATAACCACAATGCCTGATCGGTAAGAAGTAGGTAAATACTGAAATGATCTCATGACTCCTATCTTATTTGTAATTGGTGGAATTGGTGTTGTTACAACTCTCCCCATGTTACAACCATACCTGGTCTCCCCTACATTACTGTAATTGTGTTACTTTTGTAATGTGTTACTGCCAACACTTATCATGATACAGGTGTAAATCTGTTGTACAAAGCTGTGGACATGTTTTTGGTCCAAATGAAAGCTGATACTTGTTCAGGTTCTGGTTTGAGTTGTGTTAATGTTTGTTTTCAGATGTTTTAGAAGTGACGTACAAAACTACGGCCGTCAAGATAAACACAAACTACGTCAAGATAAACACAGAACTACGTCAAGATAAACACAAAACTACAGCCGTCAAGATAAACACACTAGATCTAATAAACGCAAATTAGCTTTTCTCACAGTGTTTTGTTCCCATGTGATCATGTGGTTTAGTCTGTGGGTTCATCATGTTCTCATATCTTCTGTAGAGAAAACCACACATGTAGTGTACAAAGAGGAAGGAGGAGGCTTTTACTGTCAAACTGGTGTTGCTCTTATTCCAGGTGCAGAACGGAGGAAACATCTGTCCTGAGTCTGCTGGGTGAGTCCAATCTGCTGGATGTGTGTTGATGTCTAAATGTTGAGAGATGTTGCTTCCAGTGTTTGACGGTCACCTCTGTCTCCTAAAACTTACATTTCTCTACACAACTCTGAACGAAATGTAGCAGCTTCCTTGATTTTCTTCACTGGCAGCGTTAGTTTCTGGGAGATGTTGCGTTGTTTTACTGCACACTTACTTACATGATGCATACCAGTACAAACTAAGTAAGTAAAACAAATAAAAAGAGCTGAACAATAATAAAGTTAAAATGCAAAGGCTTAAACAACCTGAAGTGGGGAAGAATTGCAGAATCATGGCATCAACATCAAAATTCAAATTCAAAACAGGAAACGTCTTTAACAGGTAGATCATTCATACTTTCGTGGCAAGAGGGATGGTGTGCGTTTACAATGGAAGTACTGAATGTGTTACCAACTACGCCACCCTGAGAGTTTCACCCAGGGAACTATACACTAACCATTAACAATGAAAGCTTTGAGCGGTCAAAAATACAAATACATTATTTATGTATCATCTTTTACTATTACTTGTATTATTTTTTGACTTACATGAATTTCTTACTTTTAAAAGTCCACATAAAAACATGAAGCTTCACGTCACCTTCATACAAAGTAAACAGTGGCAGCAACACACCAAAGTTTCTCATCCAAAATACAGAATAACACCACATTTTTCTGATCCACCTGGTTTTATGCTAATTCTGATTTTGTTTTAGAAAATGACCCAAATATCCGTAATATGTTTTCCTCATTCATTTTGAGTTGCAATGATTTCTACAAGTGCTGGAGCACCCGATGACCCTTGTTGCTGTGGATACGACCTATGAGTGAACGGAGATGATGTGCACACAGCTTCGTCCGTGTTGGCTGGTTCACCTTTATCACTGGGACGAAACCCAAAACATTCCCAGACACGAGCAGAGGCATTTCTCTAGTTTAATGATCCTGAAGCGTTATCTCACCACCAGCGGGCGCTGACGAGCTGCTCAGTGAGCGTGTGGGTGAGCGAGGGAGAGAGAGCGGCAGGTGAATGTAGCGGAGAAGAGGAAAAGGTGAGCAGTGAAATTCAGCAGTAAATGTGCAGTGTAGCTTACAGTGTGTCAGTGACTGATGGTGTCTGTTGTTTACCAACTGCTGCAATATAGTTTCACGTGGCGTTGCCTGACTACGATGAGGAAGTTCATTACAATACATCAGCGCAATCCATTATCTTAGCATCAGGTTAATGGAAAGAGGATCGTCTGTATTTACCTAGACACCGGCCAAGCCTATTTACAGCTGAGCAGCTTCCTCACCTGTGACAGAGATCCAGCTGGATGGAGACTCTTCACGACCGCTGATGTTACACTTGTAGAGGCCTTCATCACACTTGTTAACATGGTGGCAGAGATGGGGACTCGAGTTAGAGACTCAGACTTGCGTACGACTTAAGTCACACACAGTTATTTCATACTTGAGAATCGTCCTCAAAAGACTTCAATCTCGACTCGGGACTCAAGGTGCGTGACTCGTGAACAATGTTTATTTTTTAGAAAACTTATGATGAGCTTATCCAACGAAGGTTAAAATCAAGGGCAACTGGACTTGGTTGAAGATACTGGAAGACGTTTCGTCCCTCATCCAAAGGACTTCTTCAGTTCTGACTGACTGGCAGGGAAACTCAGCTATTTAACCTCAGTGGGGTCGTTATCCCGGGTCGTCGATACCGCTTAGTGTTCCTGGTTGCTGTGACGACAGTCGTTACAGTCGTTAAGACTACCTGTGGCCAGACTGAACGACCATCGTTGGTATCTTCACCTGAGGCCAATAGGTTGCGTTTGTTGAGTTTCCTGGGAAGTGATGAAAGGACAGCATTGTAAGTGGGGGATAAGTGGTGGCGTAGACCCCCTCCCCTGTTCAATGACGGCTTCTCAACCCTGGTGTAGATGCTTCCTTGACACCTCTTTCAAACATCCATCTTCTCTGTCTAAAATGTGCACCTGGTGGTCCTCAAACGAGTGTCCTCTGTCCTTCAGATGTAAGTAGACAGCAGAGTCTTGACCTGAGGAGTTGGCCCTTCTGTGTTGTTCTGTGTCAGGTCAAACTTGTGGTGGTCAATTAACGTAATCCTTTACGTCCCGCTGGCTGCCGTCACCTTAATTATTACCGTTGGCTAGAAACAGGTTACAGCTTTATTGTTGACCATGTAACTTTACAGTTTTATTTAATTATAACTTACACTGGGTTTGAGAGTCAACAGTCATTAATTGTAGACACATGTTTGTGTTCTGTAAGATAAAAACAGGTTACAGGTTTATTGTTGATTATTCAACATCACAGTTTTGTTTAGTTAACTGGGGAGTGTGTTGACTTACAGTAGTTTAAGCTGTCAGTGATGCCATTGCACATTACATGCTCTGTAAATGAAAATAAGGTTACAGTTACAGAATTCCTTGCAGTTTTATAGCAACCTGGTTTGAACGGAGCAGGTGATACAACATTCATAATAACCACGAGAGACTTGAGACTTGACTTGGACTCTAGCTCAGAGACTTGTGAGCATCTCTGCATGTTGGATGGTCATGTGACCTGTAAGCTCAGTAATAAAATAGTAAAACTTTTTTCCTTCTTCACTTAATCAACTCTGGTAAAAAAGTTGATCAACACATTGAAACTCACACCAAAACAGTCTCGGTTAATACACTACAGGTGAGAGGAAAACTCCTTAACTGTCCCTTTAACTCCTGAGACAATAAGAAAATGACCCAAACTGTTCACCATCAAAACACAGGTTTAAGTAAACTTTATTTATTTTTTTTGTCTCTGTACAATTTCATGATAAAAATTAAAGCATTTCTTTTTATATCATTGGTCCAAACAACATTTTTCTACAAAGAAATACTTTTTTTGCAGCACGCTTCAGTGCGTATCTGTAACCATTACAAAACACATTATTTACAGTAAACAAAGAAGGAGCAGTGACAGAAATCTCAGCTTTACAATAAATTAACATTAAATATTTAAATATTTATATATTAATTTGACAAAACATTATGGCAGTTGGTGACTGTCCACATTACAATATAGATTTACAGTAAGGGGGGTGAGGGGATTATCATCGTCAGCGGGGGTCCCAGGCCTCGCTGATGAGGCCAGCTGCAGAAGAAACGGTTCCTGTGGCTGAAACAGTTTGTGTCCAGGGTGTCGACTGTGAAGTCACACAGGGGGAAGGGGGATCTACAACCAGCTCCACTGTCTTGTCTTATGAGCGTTGAGCTCCAGGTAGGTCTGGCTGCACCAGGGAACCAGATGGTCAAATTCCCACCTGTAGGCGCACTCATCCCGGCCAGCGATGAGCCTAATGAGTGTGGCGTCCCCAGCATCGTTCAGGAGACGTGTATCAGTTGTTTAATCAGTCAGATCACTCGCTGGTCCAGTTTCAGGTGAAGATCTAAAGGCGAGAGCTGGACTCTGTCTTTTTGTCTTGTAGCAGCTAATATTCATCACAAATTCATGATGCTTTTCAACTGAGCATTCTTTAACTGGGTCATTATTACACCCTTCACAGTGCACGTACAAAAACTTAAATATCTTTGGTGTGCAGGTTCACAGAGAGCTGGAGCTTATCCCAGCATGCATTGTGTGAGAGGTGGGTACGACTGTACAGCATTCTGTCCCAGGATATCACTGACACTCTTTGGGAGTGACCAGTCCACCTGACATAACACGGGGTGAACACATAAACTAAATTTATCAAGCCTGGCTGGTCACCTGGTCTGGAGCAGGCTAGCCGCACAGAATAGATCTCCACGGTATCCATGTGCTGCTGCTTTCATCAAACGGGGTCAAATTTGGCCAGGATAGCGGAGAAGATTCAGGACCAAAGATATCAGAGGCTGCTGCTGTTTAGATGATGCTTAGCATCTGTTTAGCTGCATCATAAGCAACAGTCAGATGTGAATTCTGCTTTGTACATCTGAATGAGCAGATCAGAGCAACAGCAGCAGCAACAGCAGCAGCAGCAACAGCAACAACAATCGCTCGTGTAAAATCCATTTCAGCATGGCCAGTCGTGCTGTTTCCAGTCTTTCCACCTGAAGAGAAGAAAATATCAATTAGCTAATGACTGGGAGGAAACCCCTACTTCCTCATCATCTACCTGCACTACAGCGACTGTTCATGGTTTGACCTATAGTATCTCAGCAACAGCGGTTGACTACTGCGCGTACTCCATCCACTGATGAACAAGGAGCCGAACGCTTGGAAAGAAGTTCAAGTTTCTACTTTGTCAAACAAAGACGTTACAAATCTGGTCAGTGAGAGGCGGGTGGGCAGGAAGGGAGGTGTGAACAGTCTGCCAGGCGGAGTGACAAGAAGGCGCAAGCTGAAATGGGTTTAACTGTATTCCACGCCATGCGTGGCACAAATCAAAGGGTGAGGGACTGATGCTCGCCGTTTGAGTGTTTCCTGAATCTGTAACAGTTTACTTCAACAGGAGGGCATTCGCATGGCAGAGCTTCGCCACAAAACTGGATGCTTCAGGTAACGCTATGCATGTTTTTAACTTAAGCTAGGCTATAAAGAAGATATACTTGTACTGGAAGGAATCACCTGTAGCCATGGTTACTACCCACAAAGCGCTTGGAGAAATGTGTCGCCTCCTGTCTGAAAGGGCCTTAAATCTTTATTCCCCGATGTTCACAAGAACTAAAAGAGTTACTAGTCAGAAAATCTTTTACATTTAATACATCAAACTCACCTGAGACTGGCCCGGTCAGGTGGACCACGCTGATTAAGTGTTTATTAATTTTATTTTCCTCTTTGCGCTCTTTTATGTAACACTTGTATGTCCCATAGTCGCTGCTCGTCACATTGCTCAGAATCAAAGACAGGTTACCGTCCTTCAGCTTGATGTCCACCAGCATCACCCGGTCCTCATAAGAGGGCTGCTGGTTGTCTGTATCAAGATTCCCATCCCGGGATAATAAAACATATTGTGAGCTCAAGTTAGTTCTGGTCCAAATTACAGCTGCGATGTTGATGTTGCTGGGAGCTTCACACGGCAGAGTGACATTCTGCCCAAGGGAAGCTGGGACTGTTGAGACACGAAGAAAAACAGAGAAGAAATTAAAAAGAACAAAATCTGTGTCCATCTCCTCGTCGCCATCAGCCAATCAATTCAATTCAAATTAGCTTTATCGGCATGAATGTATAACTATCTATAACTACAGGTTAAAATAACTTTCTAAAGTGTGTCTTTCACCGTGATTTGTTTTCCTCCGTGGATTATTTACCTCTCTTTAGCAGTAGCTCGGCCGGAAAGTGAAATTTAAGTTCGGTACGACATCGTTTTCTTGCTACCTTTCGTTATAATGTGTAAGTTACTCTTTTCTGTTATTTTAGTGGTTTATATTGAGTTTAACGCATCAGTTTATGAGTAAGGGATGGGCGACATGAAAAAAATAGTAAAATCATTATTTAATCATTTATTTATTATAATTTAAAGGCTGATTTTTCTGAAGAAACCAGATGGTTAATTGTGCTTTTAAACTTTTCTTTATGGTCAGAACATGAGAAACACTTGATGCCAAAAAGCAGCCTGGTATCAAACAGTGGATCCCTTCACAGAGCTGAACATCCAAAACAACAAATATGCATGAAAAAAATTCATTTCCTCAACAAAATAAATATCTTAATAGAAAAGAAAGTGCTAATTTGTTTGAGATTCAAATAATTTAAATCAGATTTTGTATATTTCTATTGAGGAAGATTGTATCACTATAATTAACATTATTGTTTTATTGCCCAGCTCTGGTTCACGTTCACAAACGGACACGATCAGTTCACCAAAACCATGAGCAAGATCAATAATCTACAATGTTTGAGCATGTTTATGCACAACACTGAATGGACACAATGTCTGGACTGTTTGGATTTTATTTGCAGAAGACTGAAGTACATATTTCCACCCAAGTAGTTGTTGTACGTGGATAGACAACACATTTGCATCCACGTGGTCATGTTGTCCCTGACCACCTCCAGAGATCGTTTTGCTGATCGGATCACAATCTATCCTCAATGCGTCTCGGGTGCATTTACACATGATCACCCAAAATACATTTTAATGCCAGGTGTAAACACCGTCTATGAATATGCAAAGTCATTGACCAGAGGTGAAAATAAAACTGCCAAATATGGCATTGTGTCGTTCATTAAGAGATCAAACGCGCGTCTCTTTTCTATCAAAGAAATTGTTTTCAAATTTGGCATTAAATTTGACTTTTAAAATGGTGCAAGAACCCTGTCCGACCATAACGCTGCTGTTAGCTGTGCAGTGAGGTGAGATCCACTCTTACATTTATTCATTTAGCTTTATCCAAAGCGACTTACAATTGCTATACATGTCAGAGGTCGCACTCTGGAGCAACGAGGGGGTCTTGCTCAGGGACACAATGGTGGATGGGTCACAGTGGAGGATTGGACCCGGGTCTCTCGCACCAAAGGCATAGTCTAACATGAAACATGTGCAACCTATTATAAAAGTACAATATTCATTTGAAAGCCACACATATATTTTACACGTTAGATCATTATGATTGAGAATATGAGGTTTGGATTTTTGACACTAACTTATGTTAATTGCAAATTATCCAGTATAGAGTTAAAAAAGCACAGCGATAATATTCAGAACAGAACACTTACATTCACAGCACACTGCTCACAAACAAATAAAAGTAGCTTTCCAATTATCTATTCAGTTGTTCTAATGCAAAATGGTGACTAAAACAAAGTGACTTTATATTTCCATAGAGATAATAGGTCAGTTATAAACAAGTGTTTTAAATTAATAAAAAACAGGTTATAAATGACAATAAATCTGTTTTGACCTTCAATAGAATGTTAATTAAATATATACTGTATGTTTTCATTTCAAATCATATGATAGTAGTCAGACATAGTCAATGATACCGTTTACTTACATTCATATTCTTACATTCAACAGTTATGGATCCAATTAAATAAGAGAAATGGTGCCAACAGAGATCCAGAGGTGATGCTCTTGCTGCATCAAGCAGCGGACACTCCAGGAGGGAGTTTTGCAGACCACATTAAGCTGGACCCACTGGTTTAAACCCTAATCGAGACTTTTTTTTGTTTCACTTGTTTCTTTGATTACCCGCCAACACGAAATCTCACGATATTAATGCCAACAGCAAACAAACATTTTAACAATTCTGAATGAATGGATGGTGCAGTAAAGTTTGGCAGACAGATTCCTCAGGATGTAACAGTGTACTTGTTGTTTAAACAGCTGTTCTACAAATTTCATAAACATGCAACACCTGGCAAACAATAAACCTAGACAGACCTTCCACATAAACACTCACCGTGAAACAAATCCATCGACAAAACCGGGAACACGAAGCCGAACAGCACAAGAGCAGACATTCTTTCACCTAATGCATCCCGTGGGGGGTCTAGAAACTTCCAGAAAGTTGTTTGTAAACTCCTCTTCTTCTTTTCTCATAGGCGGAAATCGCGGGGGTGTCCGGGGGATGAGGATCCCTCTATCTGAGGGCTGTCTTCCCCTAAAAATCATCAAATAATATAATAATATATACAATAACTGTGTAGGTAGTAAAACAACAAAAACGCAAAGGGGACTGAAGTCAAGCCAGCGTCCACTTCGAAAACGACAGTCAGGCCAGCCCTCGCGCTGTTTTGCGATGCGTGTTTTTCTAGGCATTACGGTAACATCGTGTCGCAGCACATTTCAAAATAAAAGTGAGCTTCTGCTGAACATAATGTAATTGATGTGGCAGAAACGATTGAATAAATAAATAAATGCTTAAGACACCACAAGTATCTAAAGAAAATATTACAGTCTCACAGAAAGCTTAAAACATTCAGCCAAGATTCGAACTCATGTAAAAAGAAAACCTCCTGTTTCCACTGACTCATTTCACTTCACAGTGACAGCAGGCCACCTCAGGGTGACCCTCTGTCAATATCAGAGCAATCTGATAGTATTTTTAAGTTACAGCCCTTGAAAGTGTCTAATATTTTAGCTATTCGCCAAGACTTTTATTTTGAAATGTGCTGCGACACGATGTTACCGTAATGCCTAGAAAGAACACGCAAAACAGCGCGAGGGCTGGCTTGACTGTTGTTTTCGAAGTGGAGGCTGGCTTGACTTCAGTGAGGACACGTAGTCCGTTAAAATGTATTTTCTAAGTTTTCTTCATCGCCTTCATGTTAAAAGTCATGTCTGCCCCGCTGCTGTCATGGTAACGTTACGATTCACCGTCACCCTCATCTAAAGTTCGGCTGTTTCATATTTATTTATTTATTTAACTCTGATTACAGACAATCTGACTGTCTGCGCAGTCTGTGAGTTGTTTTCTTTGCATCTGATTATCACACTGCATATTATTCAATACTGAAATAAATCCATGTCAGAAACATTTAAAGTTTGAAGTAGATTAATGTCTGTTATTGTCTTGGAGAGTCTCCATCCAGCTGGATCTGTGTCACAGGTGAGGAGCTAACATTTGATTTGAGGACTCACTTCATCCAGAGGTTCACCTGACCAGGTGGATTCTGTCTACAGGTAAACCTACAGCCCCCACCTCAGTCCCCCTCCAGCTTGTGTTCAGACTGATCCGCCACCTGGTGGTCTTCTGTCCCTGCTGCATCTCCACTGTCCTCATGGTGTCTTCATATCGACGCAGGGCCGCAGGTAACACTCTGACTCATTCAGTCCCACACTCTCACTCTGGTGTTGATGATTCATAATCAATCAATCAATCAAAACTTTATTACAGACTCAAGGTCCAAATCTTACCACAACAATACATAAATACATATCCACAAACGCACATGAATGCACAAATACCTACACATAAAAAATAAATAAAAATCCATAGTAAATCATGGTTAGAAAATGAAAAGTATAAAATGATTTAAAAAGAAAATCATTGTTCTACCAGGAGACAATTATAGCAGTGTTTCCATTGTACTTAGCCGTATGTTAGTTAAGGCCAATTATTATTTCATTTTGTGACCCATTAAGCCGGCACATGAATTTAAACATTAGGTTTCTTAAAGCAGCATGAAAGGTCCTTATTCTTGCAGCCACAAACATCTCACTTGCACTACACCATCTTGGTCTTGTGAGTAATATTCTCATTGCGTCGTTAAATGCTACTTTAAATTTAATAGACTTGCCTTTTAATAATTTGACCACAAGTGCGCAGTATAGAACGGTGTGCTTAAACAGAGATGTCTTTACACCAACCGTACATGCCTAAATTTACGTATGCTTGTGCATACATCCGGCGACAGTGCCTGTAAATATCTGTCATTTTATCAGTGATAAAATGACCAAGGTATTTCCTTATTACAGACACTAAGCTTACTGTTAGCCAATTTAAAATCAGGATAGTTCAAACATTTATCATCTTCAGTTCTGCAGATCATGACGACACTCTTATTGGCGTTACATTTGATATCATGTTCCACACCATACACCGAACATATTGTAAAAAGCTGCTGTAATCCAGCACTTCTTAGGTCATCTGCATACATAATATGATTCACTATTGAATTACCAATCATGCACCAGTATTACAGGCTCTCAACTGCCTGGACAGATATAGAGATTAAAAAGAGCAGGTGACAAAATACCCCCTTGTCTGACTCCATTGCTAACCCCAAATAAAGCTGAGACACTATTGCCCCATTTCACTTGCGTAGTCCGGTGGGCATACCAGTAAGCCAAAATTCTCACAATATAATGGGCACCCCTCTTGTGATTGATTGATTTACACAGTCAAATGCTTTAGAAGCATCAATAAAACACATAAGAACTGATGAGTTTTTATCTTATATGTGTTCACAATTTCCTTTAGAGCATTATACACAAGTCAGTGCCATGTTTAGCGTTAAACCCAAACTTTGTTATCTGTCGTGGAGTCACAGTTGAGTCTAACTGATAAATGATCCACATTTCTTTCTAACCTGCTCTGACTGCAGGAAATGACCTGAGAAGGGATTGACAACATTGACGATGTCATCACTGCTGTCTCCAGAGAATTTCACGTCTGAGCTGATCCAAGGGCGCCCTGACCAGGTTGGAGCGAGATTTATATAATAAATAATAATAATAATCCTTATTTGTAGAGCACTTTTCAAAAACAAGTTACAAAGTGCTTTAACAAGTGTAAAGACAATAATACAAAACAATACAAGAGAAAAGCATGAAAACATTGAAAAGACTGAGACAGAGATATTTGATTATTGATTGTGATTTATTGGTTTGCAAACGACGGTGGGGAAGAGAAGCTATTGGCTTATAGCCGACATGCTCGATATCAGCAAATAGCCTCCAATCTCCCATTCAGAAATTCACTGCAAGGCAAGCCCCCAAAAGTTTAGTTTCATGTATCTGCTTTAATGACACTGCAAGTTAATACTTGATCTTACCATCAATTCTTTATTCCTACGTACATTAAAAACCACTCCTTAAAGAAATTAATTAGGTATATGTTATTAATATGTTATTAATTAACTCGTATGTCCCATAGTCGCTGCTCGTTACATCCTTCAGAATCAAAGACAGGTTATCGTCCTTCAGCCGATGTCCGCCAGATTCTCATAAAATGGATGCTGGTAGT